TTTAAGATTAGGTTCACTACGTAGCCACATTTTATTAGCTTGAATATCAAGTACAAGTCCAACAGCTTTCATAATATCATTACCGATTAAAATTAAATGTGTAAAATTTTTAGCTAAAACAGCTTTATGCTGAATAACACTACCAGCAATAGCAACATCAACTGTCACCCACCCCACAGGACAAATAGAACTTCCTTCGGGTCCATGAATATCAGGACCATCATAAGATGTTGGTGGAATAGATTTATTACCAATAATTGACCAATGTTGAGAGCTGATAATTGTAAGACCAGATCCCGTATCAAGAAGTACGACACCAGGTATACCATTGACTTTAGCTTCGGCTACTAAATAAGAGGCAGGTGGTGAAATGATGTTAATGTTGCTTGTACGAGAGGATGTGTTATCATAGTTCAGATCAGTTGATGAAAATGGTAATGCAGATGCAGTTATATGTGTAGGTGAAATCATAGTTGAATCAGTATTAATACATGTAGAAGAATAAAGTTGAGATGATGATGAAGATTGTAAAGTTGGTGGTGATGATAATTGATCAGTTGAGGAGATAGTTGTGGGAGTCAGATTCTCCTCTAAGGCCGGCTCCCTTGGATGTTTCCCGTCATCGAAGGTCATTCAGCTGTAAAATAAGAAGATGAATGAGATTGTTGGTAATTTTGTTGAGGTGGTTGTTGTTGATGAATTAATTCATGCTGATTTGGTGATTGATAGTTGTGTTGTTGAGAATAATGAGACGACGACATAGATGGTTGATAAGGTTGTTGCTGTACATGTTGATACCGTTCAGGTTGATAATTAGGACCGTTTGGATTAGAATAACAACGAAACCAGGTATGGCTTGTGCTTGAACAAAATGAACACCAAGGTATATTATTGTGGGGTTTTACCTTTACATTTCGATCAGAAACTTGTCGAGATATATGGGATTCATTTTGAATTTGTGATGATCGATGTGGTGATGTTGTTGAATTTATAAAAGTGCGTGAATATTTATTACTGTGATGATTTTGTTTATTGCTGTTGTATTTCGAATTATTTTTATAATTATCATATGAAGCTTGATGATTATAAGTTGTTAAAGATGATGGATTAGGTTGAGAAACATTGAATAAGTTATTAACAGTAGTAGACTTTTGTTTGTTGTTGTTGTCTTCTTTGTGTGCATCACGAAGTTTGTCATCGATTTTTTGTTGTGCAATATTTGATTCAATTTCAATGGCTTTTTGAACAAGATCAGATAAAGAAGATGTAAGACTAAGTGCCATTTTATCACGTATATCTTTGCGTAATTTTTGTAAAAATTTTCTTTTAATATAATCAGTAGAAGTTTGAGGTTCAATTTCCGACATTAAGGCTTTAAGTCGTTCAAAATAATCAGCAGTTGGTTCATTATCACCTTGCCATAATGTACGTAATCGACCACGAAGTAATTCAATTTTTTCTGGAGTTCGAAATCGACGAAGAAATAATTGTTTAAATTGTACCCAATTGTTAACAGGTTGTTCTTGTTGTGTTTGAATATACCACGTAAGAGCAGTATCAGTTAAAGATTGTTGAATAGCACGAAGTAAATAATCATCATTATGACCAACAAGACTTGATGCTCGAATTTCAAATTCAGTAATAAATTTCGTTGGCATTTCACCTTCTTTACCACTAAAGCTAGGTAAAGTGTTGGTTAACGACATAGTAAATGGCATAATTGGTGGTGATGTAAATGTATTTGTAGATAGAGTAACTGGTCTAGGTTTATCAGTAGCAAGAATTGGAACAAATGCAGACGTATGTGAATTTTGAGCTGCTAGTGGTGGAATATTTGTTGATGGATTTGGAGAAGCTTTACCCGAAGTTAATTGAGAATCACGTATTTCATGGATCTTTTTTCGAAGATTATTAATTTCAGTATCACGACGTTCAAGTGCTGCATTCGATTTATATAAAGCTTCTTGTAAATTACGTATTTGATCAGCACTGGCTAATGTATCAGAATGATGGACCGACGTCGTTTGAACCGGTTGTAAAGTATATGTTTCATGAGGATATTGAATGCACATTGGTGAAGTAGATGGATAATGATTAAGATGTTGATGAGTATCATTTTGATGCATATTATGATGAACTGAAATTGGTCGAGAATGTAAAATTGGTGAATGTGGTGCAGAATTTACGACAGCTTTTAAATGATGTAATTGATTATAAAGATCCTGTATAATTTTATGTAAATTGGTCATTTCAGATTGTTGATTATATAATGTTGCATTTTGATCATTAATTTTATCTTCAAGAAAACGAATTTGAGAATTCGTGTTATACACTTGTTCATTATTTATAGCTTTGACAGCAGAAGAAATTTGTTCAGACAAAACCGGAGTAAATTGTGTATTAATTAGTTGCGGTGAGACCCTTCGAATAGATGAACGATTAAATATTGATTTTGATGATGAGTCATTCGAATCATAATTAGCAGTAAGCTGATCTTGTGCAGGAGCATCACCAATAGACATATTGGATAAGTAAGAATGGTAAGAACAACAAGGAAAACACTTGAAGAACAGTATAATTATAATATTAACATTTATATATTAATTGATGAATTGGTATTTTTTTTTCGCAAATATTCTCTGGCTAAAAGTAATTAATATTTATACAATAATAATTTGTTTTTTTTTTGTTTAATGACCAGGCCCACCCAGGACTGCGTCACTTGAGATGCGTCGATGTGCGGCAAGCTCAATGCCAGACAAACAATATCGATAAAATAATACAACTCTCCTTTTTATATCATGAGAAGAACAATGATCATAATGATAATCAAGTAACGAGCGCGAAAACCAATAGAACAAGAGAGAGAGAAGAATAAAGCGCGAAAGGAAACAAATAGAAAAATGAGCAGATCATAATATACAGGTAACGACATACAATGCCGTTACACCCCTCCCATGGCTCGTAACAGAAACTGTAGATGCGAATTTATATACTCTAGAATGTTTTCTTTCGGATTCAAACTATCTTGGAAATGGATTATGTGTTTTAGAAGAACCATTCCCAATCAAATCGTTTGTACCAACGGCGGCGGAACGCTTTCAATCTAGGGGAGGCTCACAATTTTTTTCAGAGGATGAGGATGATGAGAGGTAAAATGAAGAACAAAAAAAAATCTGGTACTAATAGGTGGTCTGCTGATAATTTACTTCTGATTCTACTTTTCTCAAAACTTGTAAAATAATGAAAAATATTGCTGTAATATTTATTTTTCAGAAAATGATCAATAAGAACACAAAAATCCTTAAACAAATTTCAGGAGAGTAGCAGGGCTGCCAAATACAAATTTGCAAAACCAGGAGTTTTCCGCAAAAAAAACAGGAGTTGACCAGGAGATTCTTACTTAAAATCAGGAGAAAATCCAGGGATTTTTATCGAAATCAGGAAGGTTTTTGGTTGTCTTTTTTCGAAGAAAACTGGGATTTTCGTTTACTCAAGTGATTGCCCTAGACGAACTTCTTTTGTTCTGCGCAGGAGATAATTGAGA